TAAATGTACAAACTTAAATATCTTGTTAACACAAACTAATCAACAGATTTAATTGTCATATCAGAATTCAGCACATCAAAATAAATAGCATATTTTATCTCTGAAGCAGACGACTTCTCAAAAATTGTAGACCAGTGTTATAAGAACCTGTTGTCAGTTGCTTATAATTGCCAAATGTTATGTTAACCATTTGGACTTAAATGTCTCATGCTGTGTGTCTGCTTCAGGGTGCTTTTCTTTTGAAAGTCTCAGCAGCAGGGCCCCAAATCACCTTCATCTATACATTTGGCGACACACATGCCCTGGGAGTGAACGGGGGAATTCCAAAATCTAAAGACAGACCAAAACCAGAATATAATCTTTTTTAAAAATAAATAAATGCATGAATTTTGGGTGAATTTCATGATTTATTTGGCTCTAATTCACGATTTTTGAACTGTTGGGGTTGTCAATACTGAAATTCTCCAAAGAGTTCATCTGCACTGGACAGTCTCCAGACCCACAGAGCTTCTACGTGCAGACTGGACTGTGCATATGCCATTCCCGGGAGAGCAACTGAGCATGCTCCAGCCGAGGGATGCAGGGTCTGAGTAATAATCTCCCTACAATTTCTCCTTCAGGCTGCCAGGCCGGTATGACACTGGGCACAAGAACTAAGAGCTCAGGGACTCTCTTTTCTGTGTTCTCAATGCTCCCCCTGCTGGCACCTAAGAGAAGCAGAAAACAGCCTGAATGGAGTGCAGAGCGGTGTGGAGTGGAGGGGGCGATAGGGGAAGAGTTGTTCTGGTGGGAAAAGGGGTAGAGACAGGCTGCAGGTAAAGAAAATTACAGGGAGGCAGAGGCCTTGGCTACACTTGCAGATGGACAGCACTGTGAGTTAAACCTGACTTCGTGCAGCTGAGTAGGGAAAGTGCTGCAGTCTGTCCACACTGACAGCTGCCCAGCGCACTGTCATGGCCACATTTGCGGCAATTGCAGTGCTATTGGGAGCAGTGCATTATGGGCAGCTATCCAACAGAGCACCTCTTCTCATTCTGGCGCCATGGGTTGTGGGAAGGGGGCGTGGGTGCGGGGCATTCTGGGTCCTGTCCCAACGCCCCGTGATGCATCGCTTTGCATCCCAAAAATCCCTTTGTTTCCGTTCACCTTTGGCGCCATCTTTCAACAGTTTCTGTGCAGCGCGATCTGTCTGCGGGAAATGGAGCCCGAACTGCTGAGGCGTATGCTGACGAGTCTCGCCAGCACGTCACGTTTGGCTGTCGAACTATTCCTTGAGATCCAAAGTGACAGTGAGAGTGAGGAGTCCGACGATGCTATTGAGCCGCGTAACGCGTACGACACGAAATTGCTTGTGGCATTCACGGACATGCTCAGCACCGTGGAACGCCGCTTTTGGGCTCTGGAAACAAGCACCGATTGGTGGGATCACATCCTCATGGAAGTCTGGGATGACGAGCAGTGGCTGCAGAACTTTCGGATGAGAAAAGCCACTTTCATGGGACTGTGTGAGGAGCTCGCCCCCACCCTGCGGCGCAAGGACACGAGATTGAGAGCTGCCCTGCCAGTGGAGAAGCGGGTGGCTATTGCAATCTGGAAGCTGGCAACTCCATACAGCTACCGGTCGGTCGCAAACCAGTTTGGAGTGGGAAAAGCCGACCGTTGGAATTGTGTTGATGCAAGTTTGCAAGGCCATTAATCGCATCCTACTCAGAAGAACCGTGACTCTGGGTAATGTGCAGGAAATAGTGGATGGTTTTGCACAAATGGGGTTCCCTAACAGTGGAGGGGTGATAGATGGGATGCACATTCCTATTCTGGCACCACCCCACCTAGGATCTGAGTACGTT